ATCCATCCAAGTTGCTGTGAAGTCCATATGTTTGTCCTCCTTTATAGCTACAAAATATTCCATCATGCATATGTACCACATTTTTTTATCCAGTCCAGTTTTGATGAGCAGCACAGTTGGTTCTATGCTTTTGATGCGTGTGCAGGTATCTTTTTTGTAGAATGCTTTGCATTCCTCCAGGGTGCATTTCTCCAGTAGGGGGACTGCTGGGTCATATAGCAGGTCAATTTCTTGTTCTTTCAGAAATCACCACACTGTTTTCCAAAGAGGTTGCACTAGTTTGCATTCCTACCAGCAGTGTAGAAGCATTCGTTTTTCGCCCCATCCTCACCTGCATCTGTTGTTGTTTGTCTTATTAAAGATGGCCGTTCTTACTAGGGTTAGGTGGTATCTCAGTGTGGTTTTGATTTGCATTTCTCTGATAATTAGTGAGGATAAGCACTTTTTCTTGTGTCTATTGTGTCTATTGGCACAAGATATACGGCTGCCCATATATCCTCTTCTGAGATGTGTCTATTCATGTCTTTTGCCGACTTTTTAATGTGGATGTGTTACAGATAATAATCAGATGTATTATACAGATATGTATAATAGGTTTTTACTTTTAAAAAATTCAATCTGGGCCAGGCGCGGTGGCTCATGCCTATAATCCCAGCACTTTGGGAGACTGAGGTGAGAGGATTGCCTGAGCGCACCGGTTTGAGACCAGGCTGGACAACTTGGTGAGACCTCATCTCTGCAGTAAATCAAAAAAATTAGCTGGGTGTGGTGGCATGTGACTGCAGTTCCAGATACTTGGAAGACTGAGGTGGAAGTATTGCCTAAGCCCAGCAAGTCAAGGCTGCGGTGACCGTGAGCGTGCTACTGTACTCCAACCTGAGCAACAAAGTGGACTTCAACTAAAAAAAAAAAAAAAATTCAATCTGATAATATCTGTCTCTTAATTGTAGTGCTTAGACCATACATATTTTGTTAAAATATTGATATTAATTCTTTCAATTCATGAACATAGGGTATCTTTCCATTGATTTATGTAATCTCTCATTTCTTTAATCAATGTTTTACTTTTCGGTGTACAGGTCTTTCACCTTCTTGGCTAAGTTTACTTCTGAGTATTTTATTATTTTTGTTTGTAGTTATTGTAAATGGGATGTTTTTAAAATTTTTTGCAGGTAATTTATTGTCAGTATATAGAAATACTCCTAATTTTTATATGTTAATGTTGTATCTTACAACTTTACTGAATTTTTAATTAATTCTAACAGTTTTTTGGTGGAGTCCTTCTTAAATTCTTGAACACATTTATAATATCTATTTCAAAATCTTTGCTAATTCCATTATAGCTGTCATTTCTGGGTCTGCTTTGATCAACTGATTTTTCTCTTGACTATCTGACTTATCCTGCTTTTTTATATATCTAGTAATTGTTTACTAACTGCTAGACTTTGAATATTACATTGTAGAGTGTCTAGATTTTTTGTTGTTGTTGTTTAAAGAATGTTAACTAGGTAGTAAACAATGATTGGCAGGCATAAAGTAACTTGCTGATCATTTTGTTTGAGGCTTGTTTTTAAGCTTGGTTCAGGTGAATCCATAATAACCTCTACCTTAAGGCTAATTTATTCCCTGTGACTCTTCTGTGGTCTCTACTAATGTCTCAAATGTTTGTTCTATTCCAGTTTGATAGAACTTGAACATCTCCCAGTCCTGTATAAGCTTTAGAGATTGTTTAACCTACAACTTCCCAGCAGTTATTTGCCCAGCCTCATGGAGTTTTTCTCTATGCATCTGTAGTTCACTATTAAGCAATGGACTCAAGGGGATTTCTATGCTTATTTCTTTATATAATTCTCTCTTCTCTAGCCCTCTGCCCCACACATTCCAGCTTTCTCAGCCTGACAAACTCTGATCTGTCTTTTCAGCTCAATAAACTGTTTAGTTTCTTCTTACTGGCTCTGTGGTCTGGAAAGGCCCTGTAGGCAGAAAGTTACTATAATTGCAGAACTTTCTTCATTTGCTTCTGTTCTTGCCGTTATCTTAGTTCTATACTGCCTGTTGTCCAATGTCTGGAGATAGATGCTTCATATATTCTGTCCTGATTTCTAGTGTTTTGGGGTGGGAGATGAATTTCAGAATCAGTCATTGTGACATAGCCAGTATGGAACAATGCTGCAAAATTTTTAAGACTTTGCAAATGAAAAGTGAACTCCTAGAATGGCTGGTTCTATGATGGAGAGAGTAACAAGAAAGACACTCAGAGGCAACTATATCACTTTCTTGCCAGAAATTTAAGAAATGCATTCTAGCCGGGCTCGGTGGCTCAGCCTGTAATCTTGTGCCTTTGGGAGGCTGAGGTGAGTGGATTGCCTGAGCCTGCGGGTTCGAGACCCGCCTGGGCAACTTGGCAAGACCTCATCTCTACAATAAAAATCAAAAAATTAGCCGGGCAAGGTAGCGCACCCCTGTAGTTCCAGCTACTCGGAAGGCTGAGGCAGAAGGATCGCTGGAGCCCAGCAGGTCAAGGCTGCAGTGGCCAGGAGCGGCCACTGCACTCCAGTCTGGGTGACAGAGTGAGACTCCAACTCAAAAAAAAAGAAAAAAAAGAAAAAGGCAGGCTCGGTGGCTCAGCCTGTAATCCCGCGCCTTGGGAGGCTGAGGTGAGTGGATTGCCTGAGCCTGCGGGATCAAGACCTGCGTGGGCAATGTGGCGAGACCTCATCTCTACAATAAATCAAAAAATTAGCTGGGCATGGTAGCACGCGCCTGTAATTCCGGCTGCTTGGAAGGCTGAGGTGGAAGGATCGCCGGAGCGCAGCAGGTCGAGGCTGCGGTGGCCAGAAGCGGGCACTGCACTCCAGTCTGGGCGACAGAGTGAGGCTCCAACTCAAAAAAAAAAAAAAAAGATAGAAAGAAATGCATTCTATTTGGAAGCATTTTCTTCTCAATTTCAAAAGGAAATCTAATAGAAATATCTATTTTTGAAAGTTAGCAAAAATTTCAAATGTAGGTTTATGCTTCTTCTAGAAATGAAGGTTAATAAGGCAGTTTTACTAATATTACAGTATTGCCAGTTTGGATCAATGATAATGAACGGTCCCTGCTGCTACTGATGACATTTATGTAGGCACCACTGATGTTCCAGGCACGGTGTTAGGCACTTCACATTGATTATCCATATTCTTCGATAACAATCGCACAAAGTTAGAAATCACATGATCCTGACAAACTCAGGGAAGTGAAATTAGATCCTCAAGGTCACACACTAAAAGTGAATACTCAGTGAATAAATTACTCTGTGGTAGTTTAGTGGCTAGAACTGGGGAACAATCTCAGCTCACCATTAGCGATGCCCCCTCCCATCAAGATGCTGCTCTCGGCACTTTGGTAGACCGAGGCGAGTGGATTGCCTGAGCCCGTGGGTTCAAGACCAGCCTGGGCAACATGACTAGACCTCGTCTCTACAATAAATCAAAAATTAGCCAGGTGCGGTAGGGCAAGCCTGTAGTTCCAGCTACTTGGAAGGCTGAGGTGGAAGGATTGCCAGAGCCCAGCAGGTCTACGCTGGGGTGGCCGTGAGCGTGTCACTGAACTCCAGCCTAGGCGACGGAGTGAGACTCCACTCAAAAAAAAAAAAAAACGATCCTGCTCTCTGATTCTGCCTTCACCTGAGCGTTCCCATCTGGCAAATTAAAGTGGTAGACAGTGAACTTCCTCCCCAGAGAGGCTGTGTTATTATATAGATGTTTTGCATTATTTTGCTTCAAATAACAGCATATGTAAATTGTGTTCCTGGAGGCTAAAATTACCCTTATTTTGTAGAACTTGGTCTCTCTCACTAGGGTGAATAGTTGCAAATTATGGGGAGGAGAAAACAGGCTGGAGAGAATGTTAACTGGTTTGGAATTGCTTCGCCTGCTTTCCCCCCACCCAACACATTTCTGTTCAGATGTAGGCCACCATGGTAGAGTAAAGATTAATACATTTTCTATCATGGAGTCCTCTAGCTGGTCTTGATAATCAGCATTCAGAGTGGGTTAATCCAGATATTAATCATTAACTCTGCAGCAGGTTGATGTGTAGGGACAGATGTTCTTGCTGAGAAGAAGAAAAGCTTCCTGTGGCACCTGGAAGACCTTCTCACACATGGTTCCCGCCAGATCACAGAGAGGTTCCAGTTAACATGGGCACTTTGCTGCCTTCAACCATCATCCCCTTGTTCAGAGATTGGCATATTTCCTTGACTTGGGCTCTCCAGCGGGTCCTTCGTTGTTGAGCCATCCCTATCATAAACTGCCTTTCCTGGCATTCGAATCATCACTTCGATGATGTGATAATATCTGCAAGTTGGGAAAATAAAAATGGCATTTGTTTAGCCATAATTAATGAAATATTTATGTTGCATGAGACTATGTGATAAAACCTTAGGCTTAGAGTCCTTTTGCTTCTGATTACATTTGGGATTTTTTTTTTCTATGACCAGACATTCTGACGCCAGCTCTTTTACACTGAGCAGATGTCATGTAGTAAAAATGGGTGCCAGATGCTGTGAGCCGCAGAAGGGCGATTTGTTTAAGAGCTGGCTCCAACTTTTTTGCATTCAATTACTCTGCAGAACAAACCTTACACAAGCATTTAGGTAACCCAACTAACTTCAGACATGCATTTTAATAATAGATTTCATCTCTGAGTGCATTCTGAACAACACACCATATAAATGGTGTTTAAGGAATTAATTGATTTCTGCATAATACCTTGGGCTTTTTTTTTTTCTAATGTGAAAAGAGAACTGTAAAGCTTTTGGCAGGGACCCAGAAATGTAATTAACGTGGAGGGCCAAATTTTCAGTTGCCCTTAGGTGATGCCTCTTCAAGTTCGTGGCAGGTGCAGTGTTGGGGGGTGGAGGAAGGGAACAAGGGCAAGCGGGGAGGAGGAAGAGACAACGTTGGTTCATGAGGCAGGAAACGAAGCTAGCAGTTCAGTGAGTTTTTTTCCCGTTTCAGGCTCCAAGCACTTCCCTGTCCGAGCACAGGTAACAGAGGCTGCCTCGTCTGCCTCTTCCACCACCTCCTCTTCCGCAGATGAAGAATTTGATCCCCAGCGTTCCTTGCAGTCAAAGGTAACAACACTCGGCCAACCAAAGAGGGCCTTGGCTGGCGGGGGGGCCATTTACCATCCAGATTTCAGACCCAATGTGGGCTCCAGCTGCAGCAGTTTTGTTAGGAGGATCACATTTCATTGCATCTGAGAGGGTGCTCTTTTTACCTGGAACACCCCAAAAATTACCTCTTTAAAAAATAAAAACCTCCAGGCCATGTTTCCTGACTTTGGCCCCCTTCCCTACCTTGGGGAGATGAATCTTCTCTCTCTCTCTCTCCCTCTCTCCCTCTTACTTTTAAATAAACTATATTTTCTAACTAAAAAACAATACAAATAATACAAATAAAAACTTGGAGAAGCTTACCTTTTTCAGAGACCCAAGTTGGAGAGGAAAAAAAAGAGACATATTTACTTGAAACCATTTGACGGCAGCTCTTAAAGGGGGCTTAATATGTGGTCCAACAAGCAAACCATCGAAAAAATTATAACAAGCAGATGCGTATTTCCCTGGGGGAAGCACAGCTTCATTTAAGAAGCACTAGAGGCAGATTGCATGGAAAATGTTATGTTTATTCTAATCAGAAATATGAAATGAACCATGCAGTTGCATCTAGACATGGATACTCTGAGAATCCCTACTGTGGAAGGGACAGGACTTGTGCCAGCTGGGGAGTCCTCTTTGCTTTGTGAACCTTACTGTTTCTAGAGAACTCTTTCAACAACTCTCATACCCATAGATAAACAACACAAACACTGTTATATGTCTGTGTGTCTGAATGTCACATACACAGAGACAAACATCCCACAAGCAAAGACCACTGTCATTTTCTTTATCCACTGGAACTGGAGTTTTATGGGGAGAGCAGGGGGTAGGGGAACTGAATGGCTGGACCCAAAATGCTTCCCGGGTGGACAGGAAAGCAGTTCACTGCTCTGGCAGTTTATTTTTTAAAGCCATGAGGATCTGGGGAGGGAAGGGGAAAACCAAATTTGTTTACTTACACTCATACACTCAACTTTTCCATATCTGGCATTAGGAGCTTTGGCGTCATCTCAAGTCACTCGGGTTCCAGCTCCCCACAGCCCAGCTTAGAGCAAGGAAGGAGGGGTCTGGGCGTGTGTGTGTGTGTGTGTGTGTGTGTGTGTGTGTGTGTGTG